GGTAAACCGTCTCTACGTTAGGTAAACCGTCTCTACGTTAGGTAAACCGTTTTCGGTCAGGACTCTCGGAGGTAGCTCTCGAGAGCACGATACACTGAGATCGAAATGGCCATGATGGCGCGAAATGGCGGTGCGCCGCTACAGGACGACACCGCCCCAGCTCCTGTGATGGGAAAGCAAGTCGCCCTACTGACTTGATGGAAAGCACGTCGGCCCACTGACGTGATGGAAAGCACGTTGGCCCACTGACGTGATGGGAAGCACGTCGCCCTACTGACGTGCCCGGCCAAGGCCGTAGAAGGGTGGCGCGGTGGGCCCCGGACCGCACCACCCTCCCTTTCCCCCTGGTAAGGCCCGCGTCTCGACAGAAACGCGGGCCTGCAAAGTGACGGGGCGGCGACCTCACGGCCACCCCGCACTCCCAAACCAAGACATCACCGCCGCACGTTGGGCAAGATTAGCGGAATGACGGGGCGGCGGCCTCACGGCCGCCCCGCATTCCCCCCGCAACGTCAGGGAAACGCCGAGGAAACGAGGCACAATGGCGGAAGGCCCCCAAAATGGCCGTCGCTATTCCCACCCTCCGGCGCCCCACGTTACCCTTTCTCGCCCAGACCCTTGGTCTCCTCCTATCACCCTCACTCGCTCGCAAGAGTCCACGCTCTCTCGCAACGGTAGGATCCACGCTCTCTCGCAACGGCAGGCTCTCTCGCAACGGCAGGCTCTCTCGCAACGGCAGGCTCTCTTGCAACGACAGGCTTTCGAGCGTCCGATTGCCCTGTCGCCAGCAACTCGACCACCCAACTACTCGACGGAAGCGGAAGAAGACCGACTCGCACGCCGCCTTCGCTCACGCTCACGCACGCTCGCACCGCGCATGCGCGGTCGGCGCCGCAGGCCACTTCCGCAGCGCCGCGGGGTAACTCCGATCCGCGGGTAACCCCGTCGGTACAATCGGCTGTTCATTCGCCGCGAACAAATATAAACGATCTTGGTTTTCAGGCTTTCGCGGCTGTTGTCTTCTTTAGTCTTCATGGCTTCCGGATGGTTGCCGCGTCCGTTTGCAGTGTGGTGCCGACGTTTCGCAGGCGTTGCAGTCTGCTTCATCAGGGCTGGGAGACTCTGATACTAAGCTCCCTCGCGTTGCGCTAGTCCTTTTATACTCGTTCTTGGGGGGGAAGGGAGGGGGTAGTCAGGGGGAGGGGGTGGTCAGAGGTAGGGGGGTCAGCCTATCATAGGCTGCAACGCCTGTGAAACGTCGGCACCACACTGCAAACGGACGCGGCAACCATCCGGAAGCCATGAAGACTAAAAAATATAAACGATTTTGTAGCCTAGAAAAGTTGCATTTTCTAATAAAACCAAAATCGTTTCATATTGGACAAATATTGGATAATGTGAATACTACAAACGGTGTCCAAATAAAAAAGAAAAACTGTGAAGGTCAAATAATTCCTATGAGAATAATGTTAAAAAAATTTTTAGAATTGCCGAATGTGTTAAACAATATATTGAATTACATAACAAACGAGAACAGCTCAAACAATATTTCTAGCATTTTTAATACCACTTTGTGGAAATGTCTTACAAGTAAATATGATAAATATAGAATAATATTACCACTTTATATTTATTTTGATGATTTCGAAACAGGAAATCCATTGGGTACTCGTGCAGGTGTTCATAAATTGGGTGCAATGTATTTTACTTTGGGTGGAATACCACTGAAATTTTCATCTGAATTAGAAAATATATTCTTATGGCGTTTGTTTTATTCTTCAGATAGATATACTTTTGGAAATACCCAGTCAGAAAGGTAACCTTGATTCAAGGTTGATTCAACGTCGATACGGTTGTCAGCTGGTTGAGTCGATAAGAAAGTCGATATTCCTACAATGTCAACCACTCTTTCATTGTTGATTCAAGATTGATTCAACGTCAAAGCAACTCACCAAGAAATGATTGGTCGAATCGACGTCGATTGACATTGATTGATGACATCGATTCAACCAATTAATCGATCATTTCTGGTTGGGCAGAAACAGAAATTTAAGAAATTGCTATAGCAACTTCGTTATGGCTAAAGCAAGCCCATGGCGTCTGTTCGGTTATCGACGGAACCTAGCGAGTCGAGATAGAGCGCGAGACCCGTGCGAACGATCGGGTCTTTCCGAGAGGCTTCGGGGAGATTCGAGTGTCTTCCCCCCTCTCTCGGCGGGCCTCTCGTCTTCGTTGGTACGCGCGCAGCGCGATCGTCTTCTTCCTTCTTCTCTTGTCGCTTTGGTGGCTCGCGCTGACTTTTGGGATAGAGATCTGTGCCTCTTTACCTTTTGGCTGTAAGATATAGCAACGGGTGCTTTATTCGAGAGCGATAGAGTTTTGTGAGAGCTCCAGAACTATTGCTATAATAGATTGATCTGTTGTTACTGGACAGAGGCTTCAGCGCAGGTAAGGAAGGATCGGTGTTCAGTATCAACACGAACAGTATTCGTGTTCCCGCTGTCTTTTCGCGTGATAAACAGGTTGTATTGTTCGTGAATACATTTATTTATTGTTCAGTCTTAGAATACGCCACAAATCATAAAGTCTCGCACTCGCGATAGAGATACCCGCGACGACGCCTTGGGGCTGCTGCCCTGGGTCGCGGACGATTCGCATGTAACGTACTTATTGTCTTTTTATCGTTCGTTGTAACGACGATTATTTTGTCCGGTGACGACGCCTTGGGGTTGTTGCCCTGGGTCGCGGATGATTCGCATGTAACACACTTATTGTCCTTTTATCATTCGTTGTAACGACGATTATTTTGTCCGGTGACGACGCCTTGGGGCTGTTGCCCTGAGTCACCTTTACAAGGGCTACGATTCGCGACTCTCACTGAGTTGATCACGACCGAACTCTTTAGTACTCTCGACGCACGTACTCTCGATGCACGTAGGAGATCGCTCTGGCTTTAGGATCACGGGTGACGACCTTATATACTGACCGATTCCCACCAACGTCACCGATTCCCACCAACGTCATCGATTCCCAAAGTTACGTCCCGATTGGCTCCCTTAGATCACAGAAGCCGCGGAAACAAAGACTGGCGCGAAAGGCGACGCCGAAGTCAAGATCAAAGTCTGCCGCGGATCTATCAAGTCCCGCGAAGCCGCGGAGACAAAGGCCGGCGCGGAAGGCGACGCTAGCCGAGATCAAAGCTTGCCGCGGATCTATCAAGTCCCGCGAAGCCGCGGAGACAAAGACTGGCGGGGAAGGTGACGCTGAAGTCGGGATCAAAGCCTGCCGCGGATCTATCAAGTTCCCGCGAAGCCGCCGAACAAAGACCGGCGCGGAAGGCGACGCTAAAGCCGAGATCAAAGCTTGCCGCGGATCTATCGAGTTCCCGCGAAGCCCACTCGACAAAAAAACGAGCTTTGTGATTTCAATTCGATGCCGCCCTTCCGTATCCTTCCCCCACGTGCACGAAAGCGTGGTGTTCGAGTTTTATTATTGTTTTATCGCATGTGTGCGCTGGAACGTGCATATCGTGCACGACTCGTGAGAGACGCTACGCAACATCCTCCCCCCGTTGAGAGGGCAGCGATCAACTATCCTATAGATTAGTGATCAGATTCGAATGTGTTTGTGCGTTATAATATATAATGGAGTACTCCAACGTATAAATTCGTCGACGAATTACGCATTTGTTATATCGCTTCGAGTTGAGACATAGAGATATTATAATACATGTGGTAATTATCGCATGACTATTTATCACTTGGGAGGGGACAGAGACAGTTGACGGTTCTCTTCATCTCTCCAGTTGCGGTCTTCATGGTAACTGCTCGTGTGACACCATTCTCTCCCGCATGTAGTTGTAAGACTCTGCCCAATGTCCACCGTCCACACGGCACGTTTTTATCCTTTATGAGCACGACGGTCCCGATGTCGAGTTTCGGTCCATCCTTAGTCCACTTGTGACGCACCTGGAGCTCATTGAGGTATTCGAGGCTCCAGCGTGCCCAAAAATCTTGACGAACCTTAGCGATGTGCTGCCAGGTAGACAATCGATTGACTGGAACAGCGGATAAGTCGCCCTCGGGGAGGGTCGTTAGTGGTTTGCTGATCAAATAATGGGCTGGAGTTAAGGCGAGTAAGTCATTCGGATCGGATGATAGGCAGGTGATAGGTCGGGAATTCAGAACACCTTCGACTTCGACTACAAATGTGTTTAATTCCTCGAACGTGAATAAGGATTCCCCGATTACTCGCTTGAAATGATGCTTAAAAGCTTCACCGAGGATTCCCACAAACCGCCGAAGTGCGGTGCGGCTGGCGGTATGAAATGCCATGTGATTCGACGTTCGGACGCAAACCTATTCGTCTTAGCCTTGTGCTCCTCAGAATTGAACAAAACATACAATTCCCTTAATTGATGATTTGCGCCTACGAAATTTGTCCCGTTATCGGAATAAATTCGTTCGGGTAAACCGCGTCTCGCAGAAAACCGTCGCAGAGCACTGAGAAAACCGTCAGTCGTTAAATCGCTCACGATTTCGAGATGTATTGCCTTTATGGCCATACATACAAATACACATACGTAGACCTTAATGCGGTTTCTATTGCGATGTTTTCTTTCCTTAATATAGAACGGTCCGCAAAAGTCAATGCCGGTGTTAGCGAGTGGCACCGCTTCACGCACGCGAGCTGGTGGGAGATTCCCCATTTTATACTCGATCGCGTCAGCGTTGAAACGTGAACAACGAATACAAGTGCGTACGATTTTCCGCACTTGATTCCGTCCGTCCATCAACCAAAATCTTTGACGTAGGATGAATAAAGTGGTCTGAATGCCCGCGTGATAATGTGTCTCGTGAACTTCGCGAATGATGCTATCAGTTAAATGATGCCGGCTCGGAAGCAAGATTGGATGTTTTTGCGTAAATGTTAAATTTGATTTTTGGAGACGCCCCCCCCCCCCCCCACGCGAATCAATACATAATCATCCAAGAACGGATTTAAATTGGTGATTTGCTCTTATTCGTTGAACCCCTAAGTTTGAGTTCCTTGATTTCGTTGGCAAATTGAGACGCTTGAAGAATCCTTAATATTCGCTGTTCAGCCTCAATAATCTCGCTTGCGGATAATGAGCCGGTAGACTTAATGGTACGGCGAAAACGGAGGCAATACGCGATGATTCTGAGCAATTTAGAATAGAAAGAGTATTTGGTGAGAATCCCGGTATCGTGGGTCGCCGCTATTAAACAGGTGGTTTTCTTTAATTCCGTTATTTCGATGTCTGTTTGCATGATCTCATTGGGCCACTCGCTCTCGTCCTCGACTAACCACGAGGGTCCCGTAAGCCACATTTTGTTTCGTAAAAAAGTATGAGACAACTGACCTCTTGATAACGCGTCCGCCGGATTGTCTTCCGACTGTACGTACCACCACACGTTGGAACCAGTGATATTCTGAATTTCTGTGACTCGGTTTGCTATGAACGTCTTAAGGAGGTGAGACGGCGTTTTTATCCAATGTAAAACGATGGTCGAATCGCACCAGAAAATGACTCGGTTAGGTGTAACGTTCAATATAGCGCTTGCTTCCCGATATAATTGCGCCAATACTAATGCACCACAGAGTTCTAAACGCGGAATAGTAATAGGTTTTAACGGCGCAACTCTGGATTTGGCGCATGCCAATCTGACAATCGCAGTCTCATTTTTCCTGCTAGATCGAACATACAAGCATGCACCGTAGCCGATACTACTGGCATCACAGAATCTGTGTATTTGAACGTCGTGATAGTCATTCATTTAGCAATTTACGTTCAAAAGTGAAGCGTTTTATTGATTCTAATTGTCGAACAAATTCCTTCCACTCCGTATATATGTCTTGTGGGACAGATTCGTCCCATTGTAAACCGGAACGCCATATGTCTTGCAGCAGCCTTTTAGCGTATAGAATAATCGGACCGAGTAATCCTATTGGATCAAAAATCTTTGCAATTTCCGATAATATGTTTCGTTTTGTCAATCTTTGAGTAATTTCGATCGAGCGCACCGCATAATGCATTTGATCGTCTCGCGTATTCCATGTTATACCTAACGTCTTTACGGAACGATCCACGTTTAACACGAGATTAGTGTGCAACGCATTGGAGGCTAAATCGTTAATAACGCGCTCGTCGTTGGATGCCCATTGCCTTATGGAGAAACCATCCCGCTTCAGCAACGCGATCATTTCGTCACGGACGGCACGCGCCTCGACAATCGTATCAGCGCCGGATAGCAAATCGTCCACATAAAGATGTGTGGTAAGAATCTCGGCCGCTCGAGGATACACATGACGTTCGTCCTCCGCGAGTTTCTGTAAAACTCGAATCGCGAGGAAGGAAGAAGGCGAAACACCGAATGTAAACGTGTTAAGCTGAAACGTTTTAATTCTACCATCTACGCGCCAGAGGAATCTCTGATAACGACGATCATCCCCGTGCAATAACAGCTGGCGATACATCTTTTCGATGTCTGCCGTGACGACGTAATTATATGTGCGGAATCGAATTAAATGCGAGAACAACGTGTCTTGAATTGTAGGTCCTACCATTAACGCGTCGTTCAACGATATTCCGTTATTCGTCTTCGCCGAGGCGTCGAACACCACTCGAACCTTAGTCGTGTTACTCGCTTCCTTGATTACCGCGTGGTGCGGCAGATAGTAACCGTCGTCATCAGGATCCTCTATTGCTGACGTATGATGCAGGGTCTCAGCAAATACTACTCCTCGATTACTCGCGCGTACTCGTTTCTTAACGCAGCGTTTGAATTTACGCTCCAGCGATAATAGACGTTTCAGCGCGATGGAACGCGATTCCCCTAGTCGCGTGTTCGATTTGCGAAACGGTAAGCAAACCTTGTAACGCCCGTCGGCATCGCGAGACACCGTCCTTTCGAAGTGCGCTTCGCAATCGATTTGCTCGTCTGATTTCTTCTTACTTTCCCTGACTTCTTCAATTGCCCAAAATTTGTTTAATTGATTCTCGAGATTCGTCATGTAACACGTAGATTTTGGAGCTTGCGACGGTACACCACCTACCACAACCCATCCGAGTCGTGTTTTCTGCAAATACAGATCGTGATTTTCACGCGATAAGTTGATCTGTCCGACGGAGAACAGAGACAAGGTGAGCCCTGAACCAATCAGCAAATCAACCGCGCGTGGCAGGTGGAAATTTGGATCCGCCAATCTAACGTTTGATGGTAATTCGATCGTTTCTCTCGGAAAGACTTCTGAGGGAATTAAATCGGCGATAACCGGAATCACCAGACACGTGAGATCCCTGCGATAATTATCGTGCATGGATTGCATAGTGACCCGTACTATGCCTCTCGATTCTGTATTTACGTCATTAATCATGCCAACTGACAACGCGCCTTTGCTTACATGAATGTTCAATCGCTTCAGAATAGATTCCGAAATCAAATTTGCTGTGGCACAAGTATCTAACAAGGCGCGGCATTTTATCGGATTACGCTCGCGATCCCGGATATATACCACGGCACTCGCTAGTAATTGTGGTGCGGGTGTGTATGACATCATAGCAGGATTTACCCTTGCGGTATCGACTCGGCTAGTCATGCGGTCTGTGTATCTACGGTCTTAGAAGTGGAAGTTCGATTCGCAACCGGATGTTTGTCTAAATGCAAAAGAGTGTTATGTTTCCTTTGGCAAATTGTACAGTTCGAAAATTTGCAGGGGCTGTCTCTATGTGAGCGCAAGCAGTTGTAACAAACCTTCGCGTTTCTCACTGTTTCGATACGTTTAGGTATAGGTAATTGTTTGAATTTGTCGCATAAATACAAGGGATGCCGTTTCATTTTGCATGCTATGCAATTACGCGCCGCGCTCATGACAAACGCTTGATTCGAGGGATGACTTCGTCTTTTTTTGCTCGAGGGATCTCCCTTGCTTCCTCCCATGTCAGTTACCTTCGCTCTCTCGCGTTTTGAGACGCAAACCGCGGTTTTATATAAGAACTCGTACATCTGGTCGAGTTCTGGAAACTCATCTCTTTCGAGAGTCGCCTCCTATTTTTCCAACGTTATCCTTGGTAGCTTGGTCTCTAGCAAATGCACGATCATCTCGTGTTCGACCGAAATTCCCAATGAGTTTAGCGATGCAACGTGTTGCTGCGCGTCGTCCGCGAGTCTGGACAAACCGTTCGTTGTTTCTTTGTCTAGCGCGGGCAAATTTAATAACAGAGAGAGATGCCGCGATATCAAGATCCTCCTGACCTCATATGACCGTTCTAATAAGCTCCAGGCATTGGCATAATTAATTCCGTCAATTTCGAAGATCCTAATCTTGTTCGCGGCTTCGCCAGTTAACGCCGATCTAAGATAATGCAATTTGTCTATTTCCGCAAGGTCCGTTCGCGAGCCTGTCATACTGCAAAACGCATTTTTGAATGATAACCATTCCTCAAATTTACCATTAAACGTCGGTAACGGTGTTTCGGGTAGCTTAATCCGCCGTTTCTCAACAGGCGGTACGACGTCATCGCGTCGTACCCCTTCATTTGATACGCTGGCGCTCGTTTCGGACGTATCTCCCGACGGCGCATCTCCCGGACGTAAAATACTCTCAATTTTTCCCGCCAAGCAATAAAACCGCTCCTGGATACCCTCGAACTCGACCCGATGATTTGCGTTGGAATCCAATACCGCGAGTTCATCGTTATGCTCTTCGAAGGCCCGATACAATTGCGTTAAACGTTCGTTTCGCAACCTTAACGTCGCGTTATCAATTTTCCCCCCTTCGACGATATTGGCTAAATTGGTTATTTGGGATTTCAGGGAAGTTCGTTTCTGAACGAGGAATTTGATTTTGTCCGCCATCTCGGCATGCGACGGAATGTAAATGCTGGGAAAGAATGACTTACTCTTACCGTCTGTCGAGTACGATTGAACACGTTTCTCCTTCGGCTAACTTGGAAGACCCGCTCTTAGTAGATGTGAGGCGGCCTGCAGGCTGGATCCCGTTTCTTGCGTGGATTGAGGCACAAACTCACAGGAGGTACCAAAAATGTTCAGTATCAACACGAACAGTATTCGTGTTCGCGCTGTCTTTTCACGTGATAAACGGGTTGTATTGTTCGTGAATACATTTATTTATTGTTCAGTCTTAGAATACGCCACAAATCATAAAGTCTCGCACTCGCGATAGAGATACCCGCGACGACGCCTTGGGGCTGCTGCCCTGGGTCGCGGACGATTCGCATGTAACGCACTTATTGTCTTTTTATCGTTCGTTGTAACGACGATTATTTTGTCCGGTGACGACGCCTTGGGGCTGTTGCCCTGAGTCACCTTTACAAGGGCTACGATTCGCGACTCTCACTGAGTTGATCACGACAGTTGAACTCTTTAGTACTCTCGACGCACGTACTCTCGATGCACGTAGGAGATCGCTCTGGCTTTAGGATCACGGGTGACGACCTTATATACTGACCGATTCCCACCAACGTCATCGATTCCCAAAGTTACGTCCCGATTGGCTCCCTTAGATCACAGAAGCCGCGGAAACAAAGACTGGCGCGGAAGGCGACGCCGAAGTCAAGATCAAAGTCTGCCGCGGATCTATCAAGTCCCGCGAAGCCGCGGAGACAAAGGCCGGCGCGGAAGGCGACGCTAAAGCCGAGATCAAAGCTTGCCCCGGATCTATCGAGTTCCCGCGAAGCCGACTCGACAAAAAAACGAGCTTTGTGATTTCAATTCGATGCCGCCCTTCCGTATCCCTCCCCCACGTGCACGAAAGCGTGGTGTTCGAGTTTTATTATTGTTTTATCGCATGTGTGCGCTGGAACGTGCATATCGTGCACGACTCGTGAGAGACGCTACGCAACAATCGGCCTTCCATTTTTATTACGCCTTCCCGGTTAGCCGCCATTAGCCGCCATTGAAGCTAACGCAACGGCTGGGCTCGAAGCATCTGTTCACCTGACGAAAGTTCAGGCGGTGGGTTGCTCCCACCTCCAAGTGTCCGATGATTTGGCTCGGACGGGCTACCTGGGCAGCGATCATGTATTTTCAAGCGGAATTTTTCACTTTTTACTTTTCACTCAGTGATTTCACGCGACCTTTTTCACGAATCACGGTGCGATCACATAGTTAAAAATGCGTGAAAAGTGAAATTACCAAAAGCGAAGACTCCAAAACGCATCGTTCCGACTAACACCTTTGTGCCGACGACGAGAGGACGAGCCTGCTTCAAATCAATGCCTGCTTCATTATGCTATTATGCATCAATTCTCAAAAAATTCTTTCGAGGCGAACACGTCCGAACACATTTAACGGTCTCGTCGATATTCAGAAATATGTACCGATGTACGTCTTTGACTATATAAATAGTCAAAGATGTACGTTTCTTCAATCACAGTGCAGTAATAATAATATATTATTACAAAATCACTAGATTTTCCCTTTTCCGCCAACACATTTGATGGCGAAGAAGTTCATGTGAAAAGTTTCACATTTCCACGTTTTGCCGAGTTACATAATCACGAGTTCACGTGAAACTTTTCACTTTTCGCCTATCCGCCCTAGGGGAAAAGACACATGATCGCTGCCCTGACGACGAGCTCTGGGTAGCCACACGACTGCCATCGGCGGATCGTGCCCTTCTGTCTCAGCCCGACGACCGGTCTCGGGCGGTGTCTAGCAAACACCAATACAGTGCCTGGTGATCGGCCCAAGCGTGAATCGCCGCTAATCGCACATTAATTGTAAGTATAGTCGAGGCTCAAGCTGAGCCGTCGCATTGGTGATCTTGATAACCGGCTCAAGAGTCACAAGTCTAGAGGACGAGGGACTTACAACCCCTCGCCACTTTCTTTTTTGTTTCCTTTTACGACGAGGGATTTACAACCCCTCCTCACTTTCTTGCTATTGCATTTTTATTTGTTTGTTGCAAACGCATCAGAGTCCGGAAACGCTACTCTGTAATATTTACTATGATAATCTGTTAAAAATAAATACTATTCCATTCTTTCAATACTAACTACATTTTATTTAGTCTTCCTAGCGCAGTCTCGCCACCCTAACCCTCCTACTTTTAGTCCAGGCAATACGTGGTTTTACCTTGCAAAAGGTCAAGGAAACTTTATACTTGGCATAGTTCTTAGGTTTAGCATACTAATTAATACTCTGAGTTTTTGACCTTGAAATGTTGCCGCTCGCGCCGCCATATTGGAAAAATGGAGCAAAAAATGACTTTTTCACGAATATCTCGTTTCCAGTGTCAGATACGTGAAAAATAGTTATTATAAAAAACGTAGAGCATAAAATTCTCTACATTTTATGTTTGAACTTTTTTTCTCAGATCAATAGTTTCTGAAATACAATGCGATAAAGTGGAGTATTTTTTCCAATTTGTCAGAATATTTCACTTTTCTCTGAAAATTTAAGTTAGTTATTAAATATTTTTTGTTTTTGACTCTTTTCCGCACCACCGTGGAGGTAGAGTAAAGGGCGCGTTTTTTTAAATGTGGTTTCCCCATTAGGCCTAATCCACAATACACTGTCCCAAGGAATAGAAGATCAGTGTTTTAATCTTTTCGATCTAGATGGACCCGGTTGATCGGGATCGATTGG